TGCAGGGTCACAGTGTGACGCTGCAGGGTCACAGTATGACGCTGCAGGGTCACCGTGACGCTGCAGGGTCACAGTGTGACGCTGCAGGGTCACCGTGTGACGCTGCAGGGTCACAGTGTGACGCTGCAGAGTGACAGTGTGACGCTGCAGGGTCACAGTGTGACGCTGCAGGGTCACCGTGTGACGCTGCAGGGTCACAGTGTGACGCTGCAGGGTCACATTGTGAAGCTGCAGGGTCACAGTGTGACGCTGCAGGGTCACAGTATGACGCTGCAGGGTCACCGTGACGCTGCAGGGTCACAGTGTTGCGCTGCAGGGTCACCGTGTGACGCTGCAGGGTCACAGTGTGACGCTGCAGGGTCACAGTGTGACGCTGCAGGGTCACATTGTGAAGCTGCAGGGTCACCGTGTGACGCTGCAGGGTCACAGTGTGACGCTGCAGGGTCACAGTGTAACGCTGCAGGGTCACAGTGTGATGCTGCAGGGTCACCGTGACGCTACATGGTCACCGTGACGCTGCAGGATCACCGTGACGCTGCAGGGTCACAGTGTGACGCTGCAGGGTCACAGTGTGACGCTGCAGGGTCACAGTGTGACGCTGCAGGGTCACAGTGTGACGCTGCATGGACGGATGATGACGTAGCCGCCCCCCAACCGCGTGGCTTCTCGTTTGATGATCTCGCGGCGCATCAATTTTCGGTTCGTGCGTAAATTCTATTTCGTCAATCGAAAAGTGTGTCCGTAATTTGTCAATTGCGTTGACGCGGCATTTCGTAAAGCGAACGAAGTGACGTCATTTTGACATGCAAAGCATGCTGGGATTCCTGTTGGCATTCCGTTTGAAGCCCTTTTTTACCTGAATACTTGTTATTTCATGGTGTAAGTTAAACTTCTTTCGCACCGTACGCAGCCAACCGTGCTAATCCGGGGGTGCTAGATTGCTTCGAGCTCCAAGAAAGTGGCTGACGTAGTCACACAGTGCTGGCTCAACATGGAACGGCAACAGTCATTACCCTCACGTAGGTTAAACAGCTAAGCGTACAATCATTTGTAAATTCACCGCTGGATGATGGTCTGGTCATTGCAGGTTGGCAAAGGTGGGACGCATAAACATTGGATCATAGGACTGCAACAATGGATATTGCTGCACATCCCTTTCAGCTATCCGCCAGGCAGCCCCACAGTCTATAGCCCATGAGAATAATAATAATAATGATAGTTACAACATGGAACATGCTGCCACACAGTATTCGCTCGCTCTCGTAGAGAGAGAACGACTGGGAGGCGCGAGGACGAACCGCAGACGAGCGGGGAAGCAGCAGCGGCCGCGTGGTGAGCAGGCACCAACAATTGCCCAAGGCCTGCGGTCCGCTATACATTGAGATGTTATCGGCCAATTAACGAGTGGTTTACATGTGGAAGGAAACCGGAGCACCCGGAGAAAATGCACGCGATGCAGAGGGGGCAACGCGCTATCCCATACAGACAGATCAGGCGGAGTCCACAGTTTTGCTGTACCACCTTCTCCCGACAAGCCATGGTTTTTACTCTTTCTCGTGGGAAGGGAGTTTCACAACATGTGTGCGATCCACCAATCCTCGCTGTCTCCACAGTGCTGGCTTACAGGCGTGCACCACCACCGCCCGGGTATAATAGCCGTGTATCTGAATTCATGTTAAACAAAACTATGCAATAATGTCCGACAATAGCAATATATGTATTATCGTATGTATGTTGGACTTCTTTCGTACCATACGTAGCCGATCGTGCTAATCGGAGGTGCGGGGAGAAGGACAAAATAAACACGAAAAGCAGATCTAAAGAAATTAGTTTTTAATCTCGATGATTTAAAATGCATAGCTCCAGTGGCTTCGTAATTTTGAAAGAGCGTTCCAGACGGCCTCAGACGCGCATCTCAAAGCGCGCGATGCAGTGACCATGTTCGTGGGATGGCCGAGCCAATAAGGGAGCCGTGATGTGTGCAGACGCCTCTGTTTTTTAGTTTAGACAACTGGCATGGGAACGCAGTGCAGTTCGCGCGTCGTAACGTGAGCAGTTTGTAGATGACCCGTTCGTGATGATGTTATAATGAGCACTCGTTGAGACCGAGCGGGTGGCATGGTGATGGGCATATTTTGTTTTACGTGACAAGTAATCCTTATTATAATACTACTTATAATCAAGGGAAAACTAACACGAACATTAACCTTCCCTGTCCAGCATTCGAACGGTGACCTGTGAGCAGCAATATGTTTGATATATCTCGCACAATTCGGGTTACACGTGATTGCAGGATTCAGTTGTTGATTGACACGTGATGCACCGGTGATTGCGCAACAACGGGGCAGTGAATCTGTGGACGACTTCGTCCGTTGACGCAGATTGGAGGTACGCATTAATGTTCGATACAAATCACGTAGAAAAAAAAACGAAACATCAAACAATACATTTGCAAAAAATTCGCATTCTCACGCAAATGGTTTCCGCATTCCCAAGCATCATCGGCCACGATGAATCCACTGCTGGATGAATGAAGGCCTCGCCAAGCCATCGCCATCTCTCACTGCTCTGCATTGTAACGGTCCACAACTGGCGCCTACTCGCAGGCGGCCGATTTCATCGCTCCATCTCCTCGGTAGTGGTGCTGTTGGGACGCGCCCCGTGCATCCTGCCTGGCGCACACACACAGAGGGTTGGATCGCAGACCCTGGCAGGGCATGCACGGGAGGGGAGAGGGGGCAATCTGTCGCGATTTAGTGAAAAAACACCACTTCCAAACAATGCAGAATATCTCCGCAGAGTGGCACGACCCCCGGACATTTCTGGATCCATCCACAGACTGATTCCTTTCCATCAACGCAGGTCTTGGAAAGTTTAACCCAAAGGTCGCAGTGTCCGAGCTCAGTGCAACAGCTGATGTGCATTGTACAGCTGTGCTTACACCAGCCAGTAGTGTGCTTGTCTCAGAAGTTTCACTTCGCCTTCCACCTCCCCCCAGCAGGGTAACCTAAGCGCGCATTGCTTATATCAGAAGTGTGCTTAAATGTCGCTGCCACTGTATTGGGAAGCATTCCTACGACAGCCGAGCGAGAGCGGCGGGAGCCCATCGTGGGGAGGATCGGCCGGGTCACATCCACGTGTTGGGGTGTCGCCACGTGCTGGGGTGTCACGACGTGTTGGGGTGTCACCACGTGTTGGGGTGTCACCACGTGTTGGGGTGTCGCCACGTGTTGGGGTGTCGCGATGTGTTGGGGTGTCGCCACGTGTTGGGGTGTCGCCACGTGTTGGGGTGTCGCCACGTGTTGGGGTGTCACCACGTGTTGGGGTGTCACCACGTGGTGGGGTGTCACCACGTGCTGGGGTGTCACGATGTGTTGGGGTGTCACCACGTGTTGGGGTATGGCCACGTGTTGGGGTGTCACCACGTGGTGGGGTGTCACCACGTGTTGGGGTGTCACCGCGTGTTGGGGTGTCACCACGTGTTGGGGTGTCGCCGCGTGTTGGGGTGTCACCACGTGTTGGGGTGTCACCACGTGTTGGGGTGTCGCCACGTGTTGGGGTGTCACCACGTGTTGGGGTGTCACCACGTGTTGGGGTGTCACCGCGTGTTGGGGTGTCACCACGTGCTGGGGTGTCACGATGTGTTGGGGTGTCACCACGTGTTGGGGTATGGCCACGTGTTGGGGTGTCACCACGTGTTGGGGTGTCACCACGTGTTGGGGTGTCACCACGTGGTGGGGTGTCGCCACGTGTTGGGGTGTCACCACGTGTTGGGGTGTCACCACGTGTTGGGGTGTCGCCACGTGTTGGGGTGTCACCACGTGTTGGGGTGTCACCACGTGTTGGGGTGTCGCCGCGTGTTGGGGTGTCACCACGTGTTGGGGTGTCACCACGTGTTGTGGTGTCGCGATGTGTTGTGGTGTCGCGATGTGTTGGGGTGTCGCCACGTGTTGGGGTGTCGCCATGTGTTGGGGTGTCGCGATGTGTTGGGGTGTCACCACGTGTTGGGGTGTCACCACGTGGTGGGGTGTCGCCGCGTGTTGGGGTGTCACCACGTGTTGGGGTGTCACCACGTGTTGGGGTGTCGCAACGTGGTGGGGTGTCACCATGTGTTGGGGTGTCACCACGTGGTGGGGTGTCACCATGTGTTGGGGTGTCACCACATGTTGGGGTGTCACCACGTGTTGGGGTGTCGCAACGTGTTGGGGTGTCGCCACGTGTTGGGGTGTCACCGCGTGTTGGGGTGTCGCGATGTGTTGGGGTGTCACGACGTGTTGGGGTGTCACGATGTGTTGGGGTGTCACGATGTGTTGGGGTGTCACCACGTGTTGGGGTGTCACCACGTGTTGGGGTGTCGCGATGTGTTGGGGTGTCACCGCGTGTTGGGGTGTCGCCGCTTGTTGGGGTGTCGCCGCGTGTTGGGGTGTCGCGATGTGTTGGGGTGTCGTGATGTGTTGGGGTGTCGCAATGTGTTGGGGTGTCGCCACGTGTTGGGGTGTTACCACGTGTTGGGGTGTCGCCACGTGTTGGGGTGTCACCGCGTGTTGGGGTGTCACCACGTGTTGGGGTGTCGCGATGTGTTGGGGTGTCGCCGCGTGTTGGGGTGTCACCACGTGTTGGGGTGTCACCGCGTGTTGGGGTGTCGCGATGTGTTGGGGTGTCGCCACGTGTTGGGGTGTCGCCGCGTGTTGGGGTGTCACCGCGTGTTGGGGTGTCACCACGTGTTGGGGTGTCGCCGCGTGTTGGGGCGTCACCACGTGTTGGGGTGTCGCGATGCCCGTGTGGAATGCTCAGCGCACGCGGACAGCGAAATTTGATTTGTGGAGAGACGGCGACCACGACCACCGTCAATTCAGCCTTCCGCAATGGATGCGCATCAACAATGTGTCAATCCACCGCCACCTCAAATTAAATCCGCGCGCATAATTGACCCGGCGAGCGTTCGGCTTTTGAGACGCGAGTCGTGATGTTGCTGCATCTGTCTTCTAATCCCCCCGCAGAGGAAGGCCTGTACTTCCTCAAGATTCTCATTCCGAGCTATGCAGCGGGCTCCATCATCGGCAAAGGTGGGCAGACCATCGTGCAGCTGCAGAAGGACAGTGGCGCCACAATCAAACTCTCCAAGTCCAAGGACTTCTACCCCGGTGAGTCTCTCCGACGTCCGACGTTGGCCAGGGGAATTCAATTCGCGCGTTCGCCGCGCGTCGCAGAGATTCGCGGTTCGACTCGGGATGGCCGCCCTGGTTAGAAACGTGCTTTTGAGATCGTTGAGGTTATTTTTGCTGCTATACATTGCCACGTGATAAGCCGCTTTGTTGAGCTATCATTTGTGGCCAGGTCGCTCCTTAAAATAAGTTCATACCTCAGTGGGCCTTTGCCTGGTAGGATGGGGATGGTTTAGTTTTATTTGTATGTGTTTGGATGATTTATTTACCTTTCTCGTACTTTGCACTACTAAAGTGTTTTTGTAGTGTTTGTGGTTGTAACGTTCTGATCCGCCCCTACTGGACATCTGTAAAAAAGAGCTAATCGGATTCCCCCTCCAGTATAAGTAAATATTTTGAAGGGAAAAAAACATAAATTCTGAATGCCGCGGTGCGTGTTAACCGGAAAAAGAAACACGCGCCCCGTCCGCTTCGCGGAGTGCACATTGAAAGACTCCGCCACCGCATTCACAAGACTAGGCCATCACTGTGTGCCAGGGTCATGGTCCAAACGTGTCAAAATTAAAAAAAATGTACACCGCCAAATTACTCGATCGAGAGTATACGCAGCAATCGACGACCCCGAACTGCCAAACTCTTCTGAAAAAGTCACGAGGCTCCGTGAACCTTTCCTGGGTAAACAGGCACAATAATAATGATGATGTAAACGCATATTTGTCTTCGAAAGCATTTCTCAAAACATCCCGGAGGTAATGTGCACCTTGGCCAGCGGCGCTCTCATCAGTGCCTCCACCTCCGATTAGCACTGTTGGCTGCGTACAGTGCAAAAGGGGTTCAACATACACGCAAGTACATACAGATCGTCGGTTTACACCACAGCAACTGCATTTCGGTATCTGAGTGCAACGATATTGGTGACGTCTGGACTGGTGTGGGGACATTATTTTGTCAGGGCACCATGTCAATATTATCATACTCTTTGGTTCTATTGGGTAAAGTCACGTAGGTGAAAATAAAATAACAAAAAATCACGACGTTTCGGCCACAACACAAGCGGCCTTCATCAGGTGAAGGGACGAGACTGTCTGGAGGACAGCGCTGGAGTGGGAGAAGCCACGCTTAGATCACGACCTTTAAGCTGTGTGAGAAGAAAAACACAAAGCGCCTTGACAAAGGAATTAGCATATAATTTAGCATTGAAATGGCTCATTGAAATAGCTAAGTTAAAGTATACACATCCGCAGAGGTACCCCTTGACAAAGGAATTAGCATAGAATTTAGCATTGAGATAGCTGAGTGATTAGCTTGTAACTGGTCACAGAAATAGCTATGTTAAAGTCAGAGCATATACATTCACCGAGGCACCTAGTCACAGAAATAGCTATGTTAAAGTCAGAGCATATACATTCACCGAGGCACCTAGTACTCATCAAACAGGAGAATTTAGCGAAACACAACCACGCTCAGACAGCGGACCTTTAAACTGTGTGCGAGCAAACAAGGTGTTCTGACAAAGAAATTAGCATAAAAATTAGCATTTGAATGGCGGATTTTAGGAAAGAGGTGGTGTACGTGCCGTTTGGCGCGGGGGGGGGGGGGGGGGGGGGGCGGGGAGTTTACCTATTGATGGTGTGAAAAGGGAATTTATAAGAGCTGCAAAAGTTTGGGGTACCACTACTTGAAAAATATACTGTACCATTGAAATTAGTTTAATGTTTAGTTCGATTTAGAACATCTTTCCAATGGTTGCTTAATTTGAAACCATCCTCTCGGTTGAAATTGTGTCTGTGTTTGTAGATCTGAATTGCTTCATGAACAAATCTCTGATAAAAGCCCGTGGGTTTGCAACGAACCTTGGTATCGGAGAAAATTATATCGTGATCCCCCACAGCGTTGTAACAGTGATCAGCCACGGCAGAAGAATTCGTTTTGCCGTGTTTCAAATCTGATTTGTGCTCGCGAATTCGGTCAGAGACATGTCGCTTTGTCTCACCAATATAGCAATCACCGCAGGTACCACTCAATTTGTAAACCCCGGGGTATTGTAAATCAGGAATGACATCCTTCACGGATGGGATCAGATCACAAATTTTGTGTACTGTATTGAACCGGACCTGGATCTTGTGTTTGTTTAGAATTTTGGAAATATTTTTAGTAACGCCTGCTATATATGGAAGTGTGATGGTTTTGACCGGAGTATCAAGTGGTTGTTTCTGTATGGAGGGAGAGACAGCTTGGTGGATGGTACGGTCAGAGTAACCATTCCTTTTGAGGGCCAGAATCAATATTATCACCCAATTGCCACCGTAGACCAACACCTTGGGCATATACCTCAGTCAGTCGCGGATCTCTCATCAGCACTGTGCAGTAATCCCGTGACCAAGTTCAACACAATGCAGTACCACTACCAGGTATCGGTGCAAAACAATTCATGGAACTCGAACAAATGTACTGGACTGTCCAGGTGAAATTGCGACAGGTGGCAACCCAACACTTGGCGGGGTGTTGGCTGGCAACTGGTACTGTCAGGCACTGGGCCAGTCCTTGCTCCCTTCCTAAACTCAACCATTATTTATTTATTTTATTTTACTGGGTAAGGCCCACTGAGCTGTAGAGCTTTTTCTTCATAAGTGACCTGGCCACAAATGATAGCTCAACGAAGTGGTCCATCATTCGGAAATTTATAACAGCCAATTACTGTACGATAAACGCGTGTTGACTCTAAATGTGGAAGGGAAAACGGAAGACGTGGAGACAAATCCACGCATCCACAGGCAGAGAGAATATGCAGACTCCAAATATACAGCAAGTGTCAGGGTCAGAATCGAACCCACGACCTCCTGCATACCAGGCGAGGGAGTTAACATCTCGCCACCGTGATGCTCATGGTGTGTGGAAGTCATCGACCTCCCCGCTCTATTGCAAACGGACCCACTGTTATTATGACGTGGCAATGAGGCTTGGCAGAAATCAGCTCGTGTGTGTGGACTGCTATATCGCATGATCGTGAGAGTTGGTGGAGGCTTAGGAAAGGCCTTCATCCAGACGTCGATTGACCGTGGCTGATGATCGAGGATTGAAAAGAGATCTGGCAGATATCTGGTGAAACGTTTTGAGCGTCACGCTCTTAAAAAAACAACATGACCATTGATTTTGCGTAGGGCAGAGCACTGTGCTGAAATGGGAACTTTCCCCATTTGCCAAAACAGCTGTGACAAAACAAACTCTTAACGGAATGCATAACACCAAAATAATCATTAGCGTCATCGTGGAGTATATAATTACCAAAATAAGGGCTCATACAATTGTCCCCTTCGTGTATATATATAGCTCTGTCTCTTCATACATTCAAACAAAAAAAATTTCTTTAAAAAAACGATCGGCTTCTTGGGAGTGATACTATCAGCAGCATCAAGTCAGTCCAAGAAAAACTCTGGAGCGGTTTTGACAGGCGTCTCATCAGCAGAGCCAGGCTTGCCTGCATCAATGCTGGTGAACTGCCAGACGGTTACGGGCAAGGACCCCCCTCCTCTTTAAGACACGGATACCGGACAGTCCAGCGGTCCCCAACCTTTTCCAGGGACCGGTTTCGTGGAAGACAATTTTTTCACGGACCGGGGGGGGGGGGGGTCATCATCGGGTCTTTCCCCCTTTTCAAAGAAGCTCTCCAGCAACGTTTGTTTTTTACTCATTGCGGCTACTAGGGGTTAGCTTGTGGGCTTACTCACTGTGGTTACTAGGGGTTAGCTTGTGGGCTTACTCATTGTGGCTACTAGGGGTTAGCTTGTGGGCTTACTCATTGTGGCTACTAGGGGTTAGAGTTTGTGGGCTTACTCATTGTGGCTACTAGGGGTTAGCAGCTTGTGGGCTTACTCATTGTGGCTACTAGGGGTTAGCTTGTGGGCTTACTCATTGTGGCTACTAGGGGTTAGAGCTTGTGGGTTTACTCCTTGTGGGCTTACTCATTGTGGCTACTAGGGGTTAGCTTGTGGGCTTACTCATTGTGGCTACTAGGGGTTAGCTTGTGGGCTTACTCATTGTGGCTACTAGGGGTTAGCTTGTGGGCTTACTCATTGTGGCTACTAGGGGTTAGCTTGTGGGCTTACTCATTGTGGCTACTAGGGGTTAGCTTGTGGGCTTACTCATTGTGGCTACTAGGGGTTAGCTTGTGGGCTTACTCACTGTGGCTACTAGGGGTTAGAGCTTGTGGGCTTACTCACTGTGGCTACTAGGGGTTAGAGTTTGTGGGCTTACTCATTGTGGCTACTAGGGGTTAGCAGCTTGTGGGCTTACTCATTGTGGCTACTAGGAGTCAGCTTGTGGGCTTACTCATTGTGGCTACTAGGGGTTAGCTTGTGGGCTTACTCATTGTGGCTACTAGGGGTTAGCTTGTGGGCTTACTCATTGTGGCTACTAGGGGTTAGCTTGTGGGCTTACTCATTGTGGCTACTAGGGGTTAGCTTGTGGGCTTACTCAATGTGGCTACTAGGGGTTAGCTTGTAGGCTTACTCATTGTGGCTACTAGGGGTTAGCTTGTGGGCTTACTCATTGTGGCTACTAGGGGTCAGCTTGTGGGCTTACTCATTGTGGCTACTAGGGGTTAGCTTGTGGGCTTACTCATTGTGGCTACTAGGGGTTAGCTTGTGGGCTTACTCATTGTGGCTACTAGGGGTTAGCTTGTGGGCTTACTCATTGTGGCTACTAGGGGTTAGCTTGTGGGCTTACTCATTGTGACTACTAGGGGGTAGCTTATGGGCTTACTCACTGTGGCTACTAGGGGTTAGCTTGTGGGCTTACTCATTGTGGCTACTAGGGGTTAGAACTTGTGGGCTTACTCATTGTGGCTACTAGGGGTTAGAGCTTGTGGGCTTACTCATTGTGGCTACTAGGGGTTAGAGCTTGTGGGCTTACTCATTGTGGCTACTAGGGGTTAGCTTGTGGGCTTACTCATTGTGGCTACTAGGGGTTAGAGCTTGTGG